AATAACTATTTCTTTTCTCAATAATGTACACGATTTGTGGAAAAGGCGTAATTTATCTGTTTTGCTTATGTTGAAGTAAAGCCTTAGATTCTTAAGTATTTTAAATCAGTATTGATTTATTAACATTAGTTAGGTTGCTGTTATTCATACCACTTGGGAATCATTATTTTCTCTGATACAGAACTCCAAAAATTATTCCAGTTCAGGAAACCCTGCCATCATGGTTATAGGGGGAGCAAACTATTTAGAATCTTAGTATGTGCTGTCTGTAATACTTTCAAAGTGCTACTTTTAGGGGCACATATTTTATTTGCCTCTAGACAGGTTTTGATCACATTTTCACATCACAGTGTGTAGTGGCATTAGTGAATTAAGGTATGGTGAGATTGATTTTGTCCCACGTAATGGATTGAGTTTTTTTATCTGGTCTGATTTGTAATGACAGCTGTAAGGATAAAAATGTGTCAACATAACTAAAATAACATTTCATTGAAGTAGTTAGAATGAGCAGCCAGGATATGAGGCAATGTGCATTAAGCCAGTACTATGCTGCATTATGCTCTTTAGTTAGCCATTTAACTGTTGTGGAAACTGCCTACTTGTAATGAGTTTTCAGTCAGGAAGTTAACGATTGGGCTCCTACTCATGGCTGTTCTCCTCTAGTCCTCACAGTTTATCATGATTCACATGTGACGTGTAGCAGGAGTAATGGTCACACAATTGCAGACAAGCACCTCTACTGTGGCAGAGAATAGGCTAAAAAGAAATCCATTGGAGGAGGAAGTACGATTTGTGTATTTACAGTTTTGCCACAGTCTTCCTGTGTGTCTCAGAGAGGGGCACTTAGTCTTCTGCTGTCTGTGTTTTAGCCAGTGCTGTGGGAACACGTGCTGTTTCACAGATTTAGAAGTTAATTCCTCATTGATTCTGTCTAAGAGTAGTCTGCTTTATTTATCAAGGCTTTGGCTTTCAGTCTGCATGTGGGGCACTCAGCCTACAGCTTTGATTTAGCAAGTTATGCTGAAATCAAATCTTGTATGGTTTGTATTAGTAGTGCAATTTTCACCCAGCGTGCGTATCAGAGAGAGTATGGACCTTTCCAACCTGTGCAACCTTGGTTAATAAAGATACAGTGACTGCTGTTGACCTCTTGTGAAAAGTAGATCCATTCGTGTTTTTATTCTGTGGCCTGAATAGAAGATACAACAGAATGGGCACTGTTCACTTGACGTGGGAATTCTCTGTTGCTCTGACTCATGTAGAGCAGCAGGGAGGGGGAGGAAAACGGGCTCCACACACCCGGTATCCAGTTTTGTAATTTACAAAATCTTTTTGATCTAAACTTTGCACATTCAATATTCCAGAGGGTATTTGCGAGTTTGATAAAAGTCTGTAGTAGTGCTGGAGAAAGATAAGGCTCACTATTGTACTAAAACAGTGTTTTGGTGCCAAGACAGTATATTTATGCTTTTATGTTGCAAGACTAACAGTGCCCATCAAACTTTGTATAATTTGTTATTATACAGAGTAAAGATGAAAATACCCGATCGTTCTCTAAGTTGCAATACAAAATACTTTAAGTTTAATACTCAACTATATTGCAAACCAGTCCATTATCATGATGTAGTGCTTCACAGTAGCTGGGAGAAATACAGTGTGATGAAATGTACCAATGTGGTGGGGACCAACTTATTTTTGTGTAGAATAGAAAAGATCCTTACTTTTTCCCCCATTCTAATCAACTGTTATTTTGCCCATATGTTTTCTGATGTGTCTTACAGAGTTTCATGATAGGGTTTCAAAGCTGGATGAAATTTTCTGTTCCAGCATTGTGGTCAGTCAGTTTTTAGCATGCATAAAAGAACTAGTGTTCCTATGTTTTTCTTTGGGCCTGTGAAGTCAGAGTCGCAAGGAATAGAACAAAGCCTCAGAAGATATAACAGGAGCCTTTGGGAGCTAGTGGGGAATTGCAAACTCTTTGTTTATTGCACCTGGCACTTTCTCAAAATCTGCTTCACAGGGGCCAGACCAATCATTTCCTCAAGCAGATAAGAAGGATGCTTTCTCTCCCTGAGTCAAAGCTCTGTGAGTTTCTAAAGAAGACAGTAAAAATGTATATTTTAAGGCTACTTTCTAGAGGGATTATAGATAATAGATTGCAATATATTTTATCTCAGAAAACCTGAATGTCAGGACTAGTTAAAATGGTTAAGTTAAAAAGTATGGACTTTAAAACCACCTGCAATCACAAGAGTTGTAACAACATGCATTGTGCCTGAATTGTCTGAAATGAGATTTTAAGCATTCTAAACAGGTATTAAATTGGAATAATAAAAAATAAATTTGCTAAGCACAAGCAATTTTCAAGAGCATTCTGGTGTATTTGAGACCCATGTCAGGAGCTCTGGGGAACTTACCTCTGTTGGTGTTCCACAAGAGAGGAAATAGAAGGAAATGTGTCCCTTGCATCTCCCAGGTTGTTTCAAGGCAATGAGTCAGGACCATTTTACACAAGTTTCTTAATATGCATATTTTTTATTTCTGCTGTTGATATGATTTCATGGATCTTGTTTGATAGACATAGTCACAAGTGTCTGTCTGTCAGATAAAGCCCAGGAGCTAACCAGACCTTCTGTTTCTTATCCATCTTTTCTTAAATCTTCATTCTTAGGAATTAATTCAGAAGATGTAAATATGGAAGTAATTCTGTATAATCTTCTTCTTAAAGGCAGTCTTTCAGAGATTTAGACAATGCAGAGCAACTGTTTTAATCTTCCATCAGGCAAATGGAAGCAATTCTCTACAGTAGAATCCTTTGAGTGATTGTTCAAATTTAAGCTCTGTTTTCCAGTATTATGAATTTGAGTTTCCACCATGGATTGAAATAAGATTTTTAATGCAGTTAGAGTGTACAATTGTTTTATTATTTTTTGTATTATATATTATAATTTAATGCAAAAGTCCAAACATTTTAACTTTCATATAAATAACACCAAAGCAATGGAGTTGAAATGAAGTGTTCTAACTTCACCGAAACCAAGTATGTGTATGTAATGAAAGTAAATTGTTTTAAGTGTATTCCCTTAAGAAAATACTAGCTCTATAAAATCACTGAAATTCTAATTATTTCTCTGTTTTCTGGGAAAATGTTACTTTCTTGGCAGTTTTGAATTAAGCTTGGTCTGTGAGACACCATTCTAAACACATGAATGCTATAATACTGATTTTAGTAGAAATGGTTTAGATGGCTTTTAATGCAAAACATAACTGACCTGAAATTTCTTGTTGGGAAATCTAACATGATGGAACAGACTTCAAAGTCTCCTGTGAGAAATATGCTAGAAGCAAAATATCTTAGAGTATACTGTAGGGGGAAAAAATTGAAGCTATTCATGGAAATGTACTATTTCATGTCTGTGACTGAATTTTGTTTCATTTCAACCTGGAATGAAAGCTTTGTTCTTTAAGGGCAATAATGGCACGTTTTTTGTAACTCCTTAGCTTTCAACAATAGTGTATAATATTTGGGTTCACCATTGTGTTAAAACCATGTTTTTCTGTGTGGCAACTGACTGCTGTGGCATAATGATTTATTAGTGTTGACACTCCAGGGTTGTTTGTCAAAAGCTCAGCTTTTGCTCCTTCTGGCAGATTACATACAAATTATGTTAATCACTATAGTGCAGATTTTAACCTAATTATGTTATACATCTTGAACAATTATAATTTCAGTAAGGGAAAGATGTCTGGCATTTTATTTGTTAATATATTTTTTCTTCTTTTGGTATTCCACGAAAGAAGCTGAATTAAAAAGTGATGGTATGTGTGGAGGTTTTTTTGCTGCAGTTTATGTTTTAGCTTATGCTGCTAAAATATGTGAAAGCTGATTTTATTTTTTAGGACTTTTCAGAATTTCACAAAGGACTAGCAAAATGTAATTTCTTTTTTTTGTATATAGATAACACACGTCTATGCATCTTAAAGGATTGGTCTGCTCAAATCTGGATTAACAACAGTGATCAGACTTCTGTGTTCACACACAGAGACAGACTTTCCATCTGTAGCATTATAAACTGAAATGCAGCTCCAATCAATCCAGACAAAGTTCACATACTGAAGAAATTAGTCTGAGCCATGGTCCAGAGTGCACAGCCTAAGGAGACCCCTCCTAGCCTAGCCCCAGCTGCCTGCCTTGCCAACTGTGCTTAGCAAAGCAGAAGGACCAAACTATCCCAGGCAAGTCAGGGCTCAGGGGTGGTGGCAGGCCAAGACTGGGAGTTGGCCTTTTTCATATCTGAGGTTTGAAGGAAGACATCTGATTTCTGGCCTGTCAGCTCTTAATTTGTACACATGCATGCACACTTGAGGTTTATTTAAAAAATAGCCTTCATATCACCTAGGTCCCATTTGATTTCATTTGCTTGTCAATAGGAGCTGAGAAATCTAGCTACATTTTTAAGCTTCATGGTTCTTGCTAGCTACTGCTCATTAAATTGAAGATTTTAGACTGAGTTTTACGTAACATCTTGGAATGATCTAACAGAAAATAGGCAGTGTGACATGGTTCATTTGGGCTGTGTGTCCTTGGGTTGTATTGCTCACACCTTATTAGTCTTCAGCAAATGTTCTACTTTCCTTTAGTTTTGGCAAGCTGCTTGGAACACCATTTCCTTCTTTTCATTCTGGTGGAGTCCAATTGTTCTTTGCTTATACTACATCAGCCTTTCCCAGAATTTAGCCTGGAGTTTTTATACACTGGGGAGTTTCCAGTGTGTTTAGATTATAAAATGATTTCCTAATGTGACTGTGACAGAACCACGCTCCCAGATAACACTGTCAAACTAGATTTCAGTGCTGTTTTTCTGTGTTTCTTTGTGGTATTTTGCCCTACAGAAATGATGTGAAAAATAATTTTGTCTCTTGAAAGTGATATTTTTCAAATCATCCACCCAAGTAGTTAGGATTGTCCCAAAACTTTTTCTTGTTCTGTTTTTCTTTAGGTTTGTGTAAATCAATTGGTGTAAGCAATTTTCTTATCAGCCATCTTGAACAACTAAAGGAGGACTGTATGATTACACCACATGTTAATCAGGTGAGTGCATACATGTATTTGAAATATCTGGGTTTGGGTTCTTACTTTGGTTTTTTTGGTTAGCAACCTCCTCCCCTCTCCTATGCATGAAAGGCAACACCCAAACTATTTCCTTAGTCATACAATTTCTTTTTTCATTTCTATTTACGTATTGAAAACCATTCAGGAAGATGACCCGAAGGGTAGGGAAGTCCTTCCTCATTTTTCCCCACCCAGTTTCTCCCAGGCTACTTGTTTGTGTCTGGGTACAAGACACAAATGACTGGTCCCTGTGACAGTTTTTTGATGATAAAACTGTTTAGAAACAAAATTCAAGAATCACAGAACATTTAGCATCTTCAGAGAGAACCAGTTTTTGGAAAGCATGTGTTCAAAAACTTTTGTACTTCCTGTAAGCAACACTGAAAGCCTCAGTTAATTATATATCCATGTAAGGGTGCCCTTCCCTTGCTCCCCCCTTGTTTCCTATTTCACGTAAGTTCAGTGAACTCCTCGTTTAGGCAGGTGCTGTGATAGTCCTGGCAGAATTTGTTTTGCTGCCCTAGGCAGATCTAGGACGGCCACCTACATACCGGCAGGCTGCCAGGACACTCGACAAATGTTCCCTTGTTGCAGGTTTCTGCCTACAGCTGTGCTGGAAGTTCATGCTCCCATTCCTTCCACCTCCTGCCAAAGAAAGTGTGTGTATGCTGACAGGGATGTGGGAACTGGAATGGATGGAGTGCAGGCACATGCTTTTCCCCTTTGTACAGGTGGTCAGGATTTTTGGCAGGTGTTTATGGTTTAATGTCATTAACAGCCATACAAGGCTTGCTCAGAGTGTGACTATCAGAACCAAACAACTGTGATTTTAGCTGTCCACTATGGTAAAGATTACTAAAGGACAATTAATTAATGTTAAAATAGCATAAAACCATATAAAATATTTAAATTCAGTTATTCAAAATAAACCATTGAAATAAATATATGTTAAAGTGGGCAGGTTGATGACTGTTTAATAATTGGTGAATTTAAACAAGGTTCAAGAAATATCTTCAATACACATCTACAAAGGCTTACTAGAGGTTGGCATTAAATGTTACTACCTGTTAAGTAATAGTAGCTTTTCAGTTTTCTACTAAAGCACTGCAAGGAAGAAATAGTGATTTTGTTTTGAAATTTCCTCTTACCCACAGTGTCCAAATGTGTCCAGTAGTACTTTTTCAATGGTGTTCATGCATGGAGACAAGCTGTTTCCTGGTGCTATTTGACAAAGCTCCCTTCCTGAGGCTAGGAAAGAGGAGACGAGAAGTTGAAGTGGTGGTGATACTGAGGGGTAGGAGAGGGCCCTTGCTAATCCTTTCTTTGAGGTGGTACACAGCATTGTTCTGAATTGAAAGCAAAAATCAACAGTGAATTACCCACACCATTGCCAAGTGCTTCACCTTAAATAGTTCTGTTATAGCATTAAGTTATACTTTTTAGAGTTAAAGGAATTTTATAAACCATACTTCAGCTTATCCTCAAAAAAGTATGTATTCTGGTTTTTGCCTAGTGTTGGAGAGTTACTGAGTCTGATGGTAAGATTACTTAAGTACCATCAAATAAATAATGAATTTCTAAATTCAAATTGGGACTGGAAATGCTCTACTGAATTCTTATTTCACTGTCCACAATTTATAGTACAGGTTTTTTACTGTATTTATGCATAAAATAGTGTACTGCTTCAATGGACTTAGAAAAATATAAAACATTTGCAAATAGTCATTGTATACAAAGTCTAAATATTGAAGAAATAAGTGGAGAAAAAATACTTCCCTTTTGGAATTCAGGGTGTTCTTACCGTTACAACAGTCCCTTTATGATATTAAAATTGAAAGCTGGGTTTTTTCTGTGAAGAAGAGAAAGTAGGAAGGCAGGAGAAATAAGCAATTCTTGTTTCAAAAGCCAAGTTTTAAGTACTGCCTTTCTTCTCAGTTCCTGGGGAAAAAACAGTGTCATCATGTCTTTTAAAGAAGTAGGAAAGGCCTGTCTTTTCAAGAATATGGTATTGCTAAGTTATTTATTATTAAGCAAACACCTTTTAAAATTTCAATATACAATTAAAAGTACTGGTAAGTACTTTATCATGTAGAGTGAAACTTACAAATTAGAAGTTCCAGGTTTATGTGCCAGAGTTTTGTAATTAACTTGGCAGTAGGAAGTTTGGATTTATGCTCAACTTTGAAGTCTCTCTGAAGGCTCATAGCCCTGTCACTCACTACAGGAAAAAATATATTTTATAAATATTTAATAAAGATATATGTTTCATTTACTAAAGTGATGTGCTGAACCCAAATATAAACTGTTCCTCTATGAATTCCATGTAGGAATGTTCATCAATATTTTTCCGGTCCTGGAGAAGTGTGAATTACTGTGTAATGACCTCAGAGAGACTTGGTTATGTTGTTGATATTGCTATTTATATTGAGCTCTGTTGTGTAAATCTGTACAAGTTAGAAATTCATATGAGACATCAGAAAACAACCCCTTTGTGCATAAACTCACCTAAACTGTTCCTCTATATAGAAAATATTCATAGACTTTCAGTGTTTTCAGTATTTCAGTTTTTTAAAGAGAAAAAATGGGAAGACAGCATTCCCATTGAGAAAATTACTGAATTCCAGATGTGCAGAAACTTTATCACATGAAAAGGACCACAGCAGGGTGGAAAGAGTAAGGCCTCTGTGCACCATCATCTGAGGTATGACTTTCTAGGGCCATGTGTCAGGGTTGTTATTAGGCTCAACTGTTCCCCACTTGCTATGACTGTTGTAAAAAACACAGTGCTTTAGTTGGGGGTTCCCTGTGGCTGAGCATGTAGCAGCTGTGAAGTTCTGTAATGTGAGCTGCATACTGTTCTGTTAAACAGATGCCAGTTTTTACATGCCAATCAATCAGGGTAGAGTGCCTGAAATGATTGAGATCTCCCTCTGCCATCATGTGACAGCCCTCGCCTGAGAAAAGTCTGGTGATGAAAATAGCAAGGGTGGGGCAAGACAGGAAGCAAGAATTGTTATTTTGAGGGGAAGCAAATGTTGACCACTCACCTTATGCCTCTTGTGGCTCAGGATCCTACTGCCTTGCATTCAGCTGCTGCTAGAACCTTCCAGAATTTTTTCATTAAAAACAAATTAAATTCAAAAGTGCTTATTTTATTTGATGCATTTGGTTATTTTAATAACATATTTTAGAAGAAAGATACTTGCTTCTACCAACACAAAACTGCATGTGTCAAAATTCAATTCACAAAATGTTGGAGTCTTTAGATTCAGTGAAAGGCACAAAGTATGATCTTTTCAGGTGGAAAATAGTTGTTGCTATGTATTCTGCTTGTGAAGCAGGCAGGTGATATCTCAGCATACTACCCTTGATTTAAGCACTTCTGATGTAACCTGGAACTCTGCTGCCTGGAATCTTACTAGAACAGCAGGTAAATTCTACTTGCAGTTTAATTAGTAGTAGATGCTGAATAAGTCACATGATGCCATAGAGGCACCACAGATGTTTCATCATTTGATCCTAAATACATCATTATTTATTTAATATTTTCTGAGCTACGCTATTTGCTATACTTACTGTAAAGAAGATCTGCTAAAATTGCTTATTACTCTTGTAATAATCTAATAATACACCCTGCTTGTTCTTCCATTTCTCCCCTAGTAGTTTTGTGTAGACACAATGAGACTATTTCATGTCCAGCTTAGCTGCAAACAAGTGAATAACTGTGTGACCTAAGCACTGCTCTTACACATATAAACACGAAATACAAAGGGTACTCAAAGGTCAAGAAACATCAAAGGTTGAAGACATGGATGTCTGCTGCTTGAACCTTGTTCCCGAGTCCACCTAGTAATTTAGATCATACCAGCTTTAGGCTGACTCAGCCCAGCCTTCCAGGGGCACAGTTTTTTCTTAGCTCATGTTGAATGACTGCCAGCCTATTGTTCCTGACTATTGTTGTCTGAAAAGACAACATGTACTAAAGATGAGAAACAGGAAATGTTCATTTGTCCTCTTAGAGGCAGAAGAAATTTTCCAGATTCCATGTATTGAGGTAATTGCTCAGAAGAGTATTTTTCTTCAAAATGCGTAAGAGTTCAATCCCTGGAACAATGCTGATGACCAGTGACAAAAATGTGTCACATGATTTTGTATTTTGTAAAAGAAAACACTACCCCACTTTGATCTAAATGCAGAGTAATGTATGCTTCTTACAATTAATAGACTGTGAAATATTTATTTAAATAGCTTATTAAGGAACATTATAGAGTTTCTTTTCTGGCTTTAGCTACATGCCAGAGTATGTCTCTCCTCTGAAATCATTAGTGTCCAATAACTTCTTTTTCTCCCAACTACTGTGTCTTTGTAGCTTATTACTTTTCCTCTTTTAACTGGTTCTTGGAAATTTATGATCTTTTTTCCTACAAAGGGTCTCCTTCACACATCATTCCACAGCATAATTGCTTCCCTGCACAAGCTGATGGTGACACCACTGAATACAGGATTTGCCATGTGCAATCCTTGCCAACAGGCTTTGTTTCCAAGGTCAGGTCCTCACCTTAAGCAAATTGTTCTGGTTGGCTGCTTGCAAACCCAGCCCCTGCACAGCCCCCTCCCCTCACCTGGGCAATTCAAAGATCATTAGAAAGAATCATTAGTAAAGAAATAGGAAAGGACATAGATTTGGGGAAGGGAGAGTAATCTCAAAGCACCAATGAAAATGACCTGATGCTGACTTCCACTGTGCATTTGTATATATTTCTTAAAATCAGAGCAATAGTGAAAGTCCAGCTGCAGGTCAGGCAGACAATTGCACTTGTTTCTGAGGGAAACATAAAATATAGTTAACTGTTATGCCAATTACTGGTAAAATACATGATTAATACTCTTCATCTATCTTCTAAAACTGATACCTTACATCTACTTCCCAGAAGCAGTGACTTAGTGCATGTTCTATTTTTTAAACTAGAGAAAAATTATTTTCATTTTCATTGCTGCTTTCTACAAAGTGTACTCTCGGGGTTTTTACTAAAAGTTTATTTCTATTTATCCAAGGTTGAATATCACCCTTTCCAAAGACCTCAGGAGCTGGTTGATTATTGTAGGAGCAGAGATATTGTTTTTGAAGGCTACTGTCCTTTAGCCAAAGGTGAAGCACTCACTCATCCTGCAATCATTCAGCTGGCAAAGAAATATGGCAGAACTCCAGCACAGATTTGCATATGCTGGAGCATACAGGTAATGGAGGGTGGTAATAAAAACATGTCTCCTTTCTCAGGAAAAAAAGGCAAGTAGTTTGGGGTTTGTGCATCAAACCAGAATTTATACAGAAGGTATTTCTGCTTTATATGTTGATATTGTGAAAACTGATGTCTGTGCTGGAAATTTAGAATGTAGTACACAAATCATGCCACTATTTCAAATATTATTTGAAATAATCTGGTTGTAGAGAATAAGAGCCACCAACAAGAGATATTTTCAAAGTTAATGTTACAAGCAGTATCCCTCATCATTCCATTTATGTCATTCAATATGAAGTGCTAAGCAATGAAACAGTGTATTGAGTTGATATACACCGTATAATGTGTTGGAAATCAACACAGTGTATATAACTGCAGTTGCAAATGGCATAGAGAAATCTCAGTGTCCCCCAGAAGATGAAAGTAAAGCCTCAGAATGTGTGAGGAATTTCTTGTAATGGTTTGAAGATAGATAATTTTCTTAAAATCTGCTGATTTTAGTGATGAGAAACATAATTCTTTTCAGAATGGGATTGTCACTATTCCAAAGTCAACAAAGGCAGAACGGATAGAGGAAAACTGCAAGGTAAGATTTGGTTATGCACTCAAGTCTGACTAACATCCGAGTAAGAATTTTTAATATTTTGGTTTGCTTTCCCATTTTCCTTCCCAGGAAGGAATATACTGGGGTAACTCAGTCAAAATTGGCAAATGATGGTAACATGAAATGACCCTAATGTAGGAAAAAACTATAACTCCCAAATATCAGAAAAGACCTGAAGAGCTAATCACTGTGTATAAAGAAAAATCCATAGAAGACCTTTTGTAGTTGATTTTTGTAATTATCAGTTCTATTTATTACTTGTCTAGTTGTTGGAGATCCTAATCTGGTTATGGTTACGTTCTTTTTGTGATAGGCGCACAGGTCAAATGGAAGGATTTTGAATTCTATGCATAACAGTTCATGGAAGCTTTAAAACTCACTTGGGGATAACTCCAACATAAAGACTTTCTAAGGAAATCACAGTCCTGCCAGAGCTGACTCTTCCCCTACCTTCTCCTTCCACCCGATGTGCAGAAAAGCTTACAGCATGAAGGGGCTGGACAAAGAAAAGTGGGAATGAATGAGAATTGGCAGTGTGATTTCTCCCCTGCAAGTTTTTAAAATTTCCTTTTAATACCAAATAGTTTTATTTCATTACTTGCTTTGTCTCTCTATTTCTCTAATCTAAAAGTCTTCTTTCTTTAGGGTAGGCAAAACCACAACTTATTTCCAAAAATATCATAGAGGTATGAACTGCTACGGCAAATCTGGAAGAAACTTTGCAAGAAGACAGGAAACTTCTGTCTGCTTTTTATATTCTTCTCTGTGTGTGCGGAGGTGTGAATCAATATACATGTAATGAGGATTTCTGCTGGTGGCCATGCCCGTTTATACAGCTCCTGCTGTTGATTGTTTATTCTGAAATACACACTGCCTTCTGTGGTACAAGCACAGCTGCTTGTGGTAGTGTATTGGGAACCAGATCAGAGAACAAAACCAGTTTAAAAATCTCTCTTTTTTTTTATTTTCTTTTTCTTTTTATTTTCCCTGATAATATTTAAAATCTAGATTAATTTCACCTTTTTACAGAGTTAACTCTGTGGCATCACAAATTCACACAACTGAGGGACTGTGTTACATCCAAACTTAAAACTCTTAAGATGGAGAGTGGAAGGAACGGGCACAGTCCATTGAGTGTTGTTTATCACATCTCCCTTGTTTCCCTCATGTTTCTGTGTTGGCCTCTCTATCACTTCTGGTCAAGTTGGTCCTCATTACACCCTCAGTATATAATACATAGGGTTTCTATGACTGGTTTAAGCTTAAAAAGCTTGAGAGAGCACTGAGATTTGAATACAAGAATCATTCCAGAAGAGTGGTTGCTGGAAAATGTAAGATGGGAGGAGCTCATTTGGCTACAGTTCAGGCTCCATGGAGTCTTTTTATTGAGCACAGAGCTATGACAAAGAGAACAGAAGCAACTTCCTGATGATAATGTCTCAATAGACCACCTGCTAAGAAAGCACTCACACCATGGTTCACATGGCAGGTGTGGCCACAGGAGAAAGCAGTGGCTGTAAGAACCTGTGTTTGAAGACAGGTGATTGCTTTCTAGTTGGAGTTAGTATGGAGGCACTGTAGCACTGTTTCTGTATTTAGCCGATTTGTGAGAGTTTTGTCAAAGTAGAGTCATAGAGAAGACAGTCTTTGGCTTGTTAGCTTTGTGAATGTCCTGATACCTTCTCTTTTTTCTGAAGTTCTGAGAAAGAGAACTGTAACACTCTAAACTGAACATTGGGATGTAAGTGAAATACTGAGCTCATTCTTCCAAAGAGATTGCAGTCAGGGTATTCCTTTACCTACCTCTGGCAGTGACAATAGAGAGTGCTGTCAAAAACAGCTTTGATATTCCCCTTGTCCTGAATCCTTGCCTGAGGCCAATGTGCTACAAAATCATCTTAACATAGTCTGCAAATAAAAATGAGTCACTAAAGGAGCAAAAGATCCAATGGAGCCTGTCAGCTTGATGGAGTATTTTTATATGACAAAATATAAGAAGAATTTTTCAAACAAAAAATATATAAAAATTGGGCCTCACATTTAAGTAAATCTTAGTCAGTTAAACACTAGAATATATATCAGGTTGTTGATTTTCTCTGTGTTCATGATGTTAACTATATATGTATTCCCACAGGTGTTTGATTTTACAATTGCAGAAGATGATGTTGAAATTCTGAATGGAATGCATGATGGGAGACATGTTTCCTGGGATCCAACTTCTATTGTGTGAATCAAGGTTTGAGCTGTTTTTCCTTTCTCAGGGATCAGTGAGTCACACCATGTAATTTCAATTCATGGAAGGTTACAGTAACAACCTAATCAAGATAGTGATGTTTGCTAGTAGTTATCACTGATTTGAAATGTTTAACACTGGCAACAATGTTAACAAAAGATATTTTTGAGGGCAGCGCTTCTGTACAACCCTCAAAGAGATTTTATATTTCCATCTCAAATTCTGTTCCTCAGTTCACTGAAGTCCATACAAAGACTCCTATTTATGCCACGGACCCTGCATCAGGCTGTTTAATTCAAATGGGGAGGTACTCCTTGAAAAATGTAGGGCAAAAGTGCTACCTGATAGCGTGCAATATAGGTGTTGGGTATGAAATAATTTTTCAAGTACTTCATAAGAGAGATACAAAATATAAAGAAGAAAAAGCTGGATTAATAAAAATGGTACTGCCATTATCATAACAGTATTTATGTTGTACAATGTACTGTAAATCTCCATCAAAAAATATAATCTCATTGCAATACACAATATCTGAACATCACCAAAAAGGTTTTAAGCATATCACAGCATTACTATGGCATTGACTCAGAGTTCTATGCATATTAGTTACTAGCCTGTACATAAATCAAAGTAGAAATCTTTCCAGACAAGTCCAGGTCCAGATAAACTCTTTGCAGGGCCAAGAGGTGAGCAGCAAGCCCCATGAGACAAAAAGACATCTTTGTTATTACTTACTGGAAATTGGGTTGAGCTTCTTGGAGCTTTTTGTGAGAATTTGTTTAGATTCCATTTTGGGTTTGTTCAGGAAATCTCATTAAGAGACTATACTGGGCCTCAGATTTTCTTATAAAATAGGTATCACTACAGAGAGGTGAATATGGATAAATGCAGCTCACAGATCTGTTTTGAGCAATATGCCTGCAGAATCTATTGGCTTAGTATTCAACTTGCAGTCACATTGGTTTGATATTTTAGGAGTTCCTGTGTCTAGAAAGGTATGGAAAATCTGATTATGATTTATATTGTGTGTGGACTTCCTGAGGCAGTTTTCCCAGTGCTGTTCTGCTTTAGTCATATTGTGAAACAAAGCTCCTTAGCTTTTTATCAAAAAGTGACTTACTGCAATCACATATTCTAGCCCACATTGTTTGTCCTCCAAGTGTAGAGCTTCTATACAGCTTGTCTAAAATCTAGACAAATTTACCTTTTGGATAACAGATCCTCAGAATTAATATCTAGTTCTTTCTGGTAAACTTGTCCACAAAAAATTTGTCTAGATTTGCCTCTAGAATAATTTGTATGAAAAACAAGATAATGTTTGAAATGCTGTTCACTAATACCTGCAAACATGTGGTGTTCTGAGAAATACACACAATCTTCAGAGCAAGGTTATTTTCTAGTTTCAAGCATGGCCTGCAGTCTAGGAGCCTCCAATACCTGGGGATACCACTCTAGGTGTCTAAGAACAGCTCTGTACCTGACTCAGCTATTGTGATGAGGGATTCCATAGTTCCAAACAGTAAGGCTCATTTATAAAACTGATGTAATTTTTAGTTTTTTTTTTTTTTTAGCTTTTGCATAAAACTGTGGCTATGACTTAGTGAAAGTTGGAAAGATTGTCCAGAAATAAACCTTTCTACCAGTAGCTATCAGCTAATACTGCTTTTGAAAAGTCTCTTTCTAGAACAATGCTTTAGCAATATGAAAAAAAAATTAAAACTGTGCTGTTGAGGGACTCCTTGCTTCACAGTGTAAAAACAAGGTCTAGAAGTGAGTCATCTGTCTGATATTCCCTAAATACGGCTTTTGGCAGGGATGACTTTCTAAGAATTTACAAAACACAAGTTGGAGTTTCACCTCTAGTTCTCTCTAAAGAAACAGACATCACATCAACATACTGCTTCCAACATAAATGATGTGTCAAAGGAATCAAATCTTTATCTAGGTTAACAAATTCTAGCTCCAGTATTACCAGAACGGGGTCAGTTAGGACTAGCTACATGGCTAGAGCTCCATGCTTGTTAGAACACTTTTGGGTTTTTGCACTTGATTCTCTGATCACCTCCCTGTTCTGAACTAACTGGAATTAAACCAGATCTTCTTGCTAATGCCCCACATAGGTGACGTTAGGCTACTGTGAGAATGGCTTTGAATTCATTAATTTATTTCAGTGTTCCTTCTGTCAAAGAGATTTTTCAATGTTTTTGGTGTCTGCACCTGCTTTTGCGAGGAAGGCATGCCACCATTTTCTCAGTCTAGGTCATGGTATCTAAGCAGTTCACTGATTAATGAGAGGAATAATCAGGAATAGTATTACTAAAAAAGCATTCTTAAGGAGCAGCTGTGGCATACTTTTCTAATTACATTCAGGGTGAATTGCTGTTGGTTCAGGACTTTTTTCTTTGGTGAGTTTTTTTTTTTCTTTATTTTATTTTGTAATCTTTCCTAGCATTTCCATTGCTGCTAATTAGTGCTTTTAGAACTACAGAAGAGTTTAATTTTAGCTGTGTACTAAGTGAGGTGTAATTTGAGACAACACAAGATTTTAAGTGCTGGGACTCAGCTGACACAAGCTATCTTTCTCCCAGGTGTGATGAGCAGTTTTACACATTATGCCTCACTTATAGCCATTGTTTTCTGCTAGAAGCTGTAATTGCCCAAGAGACTCTGAAACCCTATTATCTCCTGTGGCCTTGGGATAGATCACTGAAGCATCTTCCTTTGACTGTGGTATTCACAAGTTTAATATCATGTTTGTTAATTTTGAATCATTGTGCAAGTCCCCTTTCTTTTGGTAAGGTTGCAGAAGGAACGACAGACTCAGTGGATTCATATTTTATGCTCCAATATACAACTACATTTGCATTACTCTGGCAGTGATAATTTTCTTCTTAAGCAAAGGCTGCTGAAGAAGAAGTCCACATCACCTCATCTAAATAAACCTTTCTAAAGTATTCCAACATTGATCAAAGAAATAAGACAACTAATAAGAAATTGGCAAGTGAACACTAACAAGATTTAGGAGTAGCAGGGAGGATTGATTTATGGTAAGAGATGCAGACCACAGAAGATCAAAATGGTATAAAAGTGCTGGACATACAAAACCAGAAAGTTTATTTATGTATTTTATTTCTTCTTTGGTCAGTTAGCCTAGAGGTGTTAATTTTTTAAGATTTTGCTTTGTTTTAAACTCAGAATTTATTCCTCAAGTGAATAATGAATAATGAATTTATTCCTCAAGTGAATAATGAAGAATGCATATTCTTCCCCAGGGTTGAAATTCTTCCTCTTTTTTTTATTTCTCTAAAACAAACTTCCCCTAGAGAGAAAATTTTTTCGCCTTTCTACAGTGACCCTTTTAAAGATACATTTCATCTGGGTAACCCATCATCTTGCCAGTAGGATCAGGGAATACACCAGAAAACTAAATTTTTCCCTATCATTATGTCATTTATGGTAGTGACTGATTGGGACACTCCTTTTCAGTTGAGATAAACCATTGCTTAAAATAAGATGCAATTTATCAGTGCTATCTACCTAAATGCAGTCAGCTGCCTTTGCGGGAGCTCTGTGGCTCCTAATGGAAGGAAACTCTTGAAACAAACAAGGAAAAGAAAAATATAAACTAAAAATCAATGGAAAAGCTGAGGCCATTTTTCTGTGCAGCCAAGTAACTTCCTGACTGACTTTGAGTAGGTCCCTCTCCTATTTTTCTTGCTTCCTTTTGGTTTTCATCTCTTACATTATTGGAGATGAAGGCACCTAAGAATGTTTCATTGGAAGATAATGGAAATGGGTTTTTTAAGTGAATATTCAGGAATTTTTTTTAATGAGGCTGCAGAAGTGTTTCTATCCTACTTGTCCCCCCCAGCATGACTTCCAAGGCATTATTTTCTGAGTAGCACAGGTAGAAAATAAACTGTAATACTGATAAGTTTGCAGATCTACTAGGCCAAGCCAACTGGATGATATTCACACCTCTGTGGTTAACCCATGCTTTTGAAAATGGAGTAAAGGTGGTGTAGCTCTTGCTGCTACTGACTGAATCCAAAGCAGTTAACTCTTTCCACATTGCCTCCCAAAGCTTTGAAGCTCACCTCTCGCTACTGTGCATTGGGTAAAAAGAACAGATAAGCCAACCTTCCAATAATTTTTTATGTTGCCGTGTTAGGAGACTTTCTCTGTACCTAGTTTCTTTAACTTTCTGCAGCCTCCAGTAAGATACCGACACACTTGAAAGAAAATGTTGGGTATTTGCACTGTGTGTTGCCAGTGTTGTAACACGGAGCCCTCTGTAAGGCACTGTAGGTGTGGCCAGAGTTGCGGGATGTGCTGCTCAAAGGAGCACGGCACGGACGGATTGGAGCAGGTCTCAGTTGCTGTGCCCAAGAGGAATGTGTGTGATCCTAATAGTGGCTTGGCCAGCCAGTGCCCTTTGAGGAGCATTCTGCAGCAGAACTACTAGTAGGAACTTATATATGTATGTATGTGTGTGTATATATATATATATATATAAGCAGTTTTATCATCCTGTTAATGATTGCTCCATATATTAAAGTGTGTTACAGTTTTGGGTGCAATGATATCCATGCAAACTATTGCATGTCACTTTCTCAGCTACTTCAATTCTTTCCCTTCAGACCTAAGCTTTTCCTAATAATATATTCAGCTTAGTGAGCTAAAAATAAAGTACATATTCTCACAAAAATGAATATAGTAAACTTTTTACAATTGCCTTTTAAAACAAAAGGCCATTTGATTAATATTATTTATCAATATCAAGAACTTAAAACCAGACCATCTAAGTTATAGAATACTGTTACTGAAAATATGTGTGCTTTAGTCTTTGCAATTTTCTTGTGACTTTTTCTTTTCTCCAAACCAGGTTTTTGATTTTAATCTGAGGAAAGAAGATATGGAATCTTTGAACACTGACTATTAACAGAAAATTAATTCATCTAACCTATTCCCTGTGGAAAGAATAATTTAAAACCAGATTGTTCTAAACTGGAAAAGTGATGTAACTGAAACATTAATTAGTTTTAAACTGAACAATAAATCTGAATTGTTCTATTAGGTACTCAGTGTACTCAAGAATCAATATAAATTGTTTGTATTTACTCTTATGTTAACAAATCAATAAAATAATTTACTCTTTGTAGCTTTGTTACAGATAAAGAAATACTTTCAGCATCTTCTCTGCTCTCTTAGACCTTTCTGGTATAGTCTCCCGTGGGTTGAGTTACCTCACAATATTATAATATTATAATTTTCTTCTACCTGTATGTACTTCATTTAAGGTGTCATTTGAACCCATTTGAACAAATCAGGCGTATTTTTTTTCCTTACAGATTTTGAAAAGTATCAGTTACTTGCAGGCACATAAGAGCATACTACAATGCATGTAAATCTTGACAAATACTTCAAAATATAGAATATTTGTCCAGGGATTGCAGCAGAAAAATTAATTCAACTTCTATATTTCTTCTAGTCATGAGAATTTTGGGGAATTTTGCAGGCCATTCTTGATATTTTCTTGGTGACCAAACCTGCACTCTGATAGTGTTTCACAGATCTCCTGTCATGACCAGCACTTCAGAGAGGAATGGCTCCCTTTGTGACCTAAGTTGCATCAGACTGAATAAAAGTATTTTTTGCTTATATGGACAAAGACTTTTGAAGGTGCAGAAGAATGACGTGTTGGAGAAAAATCCTTTGCTAATCTCTCTTGCAGGGATTGTCACTATCTTTTCAAGATGGATAAGTGTTCAGACACTCCTCTGATGCAATTGTGAGTTGTCCAGCTGCACTGGGAGAGTTCAGTCTGGTGGTGTCAGAGGCCACTAGTCTTTTGATATGCAGGCATTGGGTGGACCCCAGCTTACAGCTTCTTTTCTGACAAGATCAAAGCCTTTTCCTGCAAGGAAATTGCTCTGTGACTAGCCAGGTTTCTGCAATCTTCACCACACTAAGCTCTTACTGGAAGTTCCACAAGAGCTTTTTCTGTCACACAGTCAGTATTATTTTCTTATTGTTCATGACATTCCCTGAAACGTGAGTTTCTTCCCATCCTGAAAACTACCTAAAAGCATATACATACTTAGGATCCATGTGAAAAATGCATCTGCCTCTTTATGCTAGACATGTTGCAGAACTTTTTTTTTTAGCCAGTTTAGCCAGATGAGGTGTCTGTTACGTATCAGTTTGGTGTCCTGATGTGCACAGCTTTCCTGCTGGCATTTGACCGAGACTTGCATTCTGGTTATTTCTGAAATGCATGCATAACATTGTGTTGTTCTTTTTGTTCTGACCATAGGCAATTCTAGAGTCGAGTTCTCAAAGGAACTATATATACACTGGATTTCTGTAGTAGAAGTGCAAGCTTCCTTATCAGTGGACCAGGTAGTTGGAGAAGGTACCAAGAAAGAGTTCTCATTCTCTTGGTGGCTTGTTCTCTGGGTGAGGCTGTAGTATAACCCTGGTGTAAATCCCCTTGCTAGACACTTACCAGCAACTACAGTTGTGGTAGAGTTGGCTGGACCAAACTGAGTCCTGTGTTTGTGTTTTAGCCCTTGTAAGCAGGTTAGAACCTGTGCAGTTGAGCCATGTTAACCTATCTTCTAAGAGGGTTTAGACAGCCTTCGGTGCAAATCCAGCTGATCTGGCTCCATTTGCCTGTGAAGAGTGAAGCTGTATTTCAGTTTTCTCACTGCCAAGATGTCAAGAAGGCTGTAAATGTGTGTGGTCGTCTAAGCTTAATGATGCTTTTTGTGATATCCACCTTTTGGAGTGGAACATGCCTGCATATTTTGCCCAGTGATGCACCTGGGCTGGGGAAACTCCTTGTATCACTAGAGGCTGAGAGGCAGAGATGAAGGACTTGGGGCACTGGTGGATGAGAGGCTGGACATGACCCTGCAATGTGAGCTTGCAGCCCAGAAAGCCAATTGTATCCTGGGCTGCACCATAAGCAGTGTGGGCAGCAGGTCAAGGGAGGGGCTCTGCCCATCTGCTCTGCTCTGATGAGACCCCACCTGCAGTGCTGTGTCCAGCTCTGGGGTTCTCAGCAAAGGAAAGACATGGACCAGACATGGTCAGAGCAGGTCCACAGGAAAGATGCAAATAATGGTCACAGGGCTGGAGCACCTCTTCTGAGGAAAGGCTGAGAGAAGTTGGACTTGTTCAGTCTGGAGAAGAGAAGGCTCTGGGGTTACTTTGTGGTGCTTAAGTATATGAAGGGGGCCCTACAGGAAAGCTGGAGAGGGACTTTTTACAAGAGCTTGTAGTGTCAGGACAAGAGAATAGCTTCAAACTGAAAGTGAGTGGGCTTAGTTTAGATATTGGTAAGAATTTTTTGCTGTGAGGGTGGTGAGGCCCTGGAACAGGTTGCCTGAAGAAGGGGTGCCCATCCCTGGAAGTGTTCAAGGCTAGGTTGGATGGGGTTTTAAGCACACTGGTGTAGTGGAAGGTGCCCCTGCCCATGGCAGCGGAGTAGGAACTGAGTGATTGTTTAAGGTCCATTCCAACCCAAACCGTTCTATGGTTCTGTGATTTTACACAGCCTCTGACAATTAATTTGTTGGATGTCACATCTCTGAGCTGGTATCCTCTCAGGTGGTAACCAATAGCCTGGGCATGAAAGCCTGCACATGTGACTAATGAAACCCTGAGTCATTCCATCCTTTAATTAAAGCATGTTCCTTTAATATATTCCTCTTACTTAAAATTATGTGAGAATTATTTCCTAGAGGAAAATGCCTAGTGAATGCAGTTTTATTTAGTATTTTCTATATATTAGATAAATAAGGGGGAAAGCTTGAAATATCTGGGGTCTGTCAGGCAGTTGCAGGGGATACATATGTCAGCCTCAAACATGATTTATCTTGTGTGCCTTTTCTGACAGTTGTGACTTAACGGCTATATTTTCCTCCAGGCTCTCAGGAGGCTAAATATCTTTTCAAGTTTCTAGCTTTGTGGTGGAAGAATAAATGTCTGTTTGCCAGTGTAATTTATCTGAGTCATTCTGGGAGAGGCGTGGAGCAATTGAAGCGTGACTATTAGCATAAATAAGAGAGGGACCCTCTTCCTGAGGGTAGAATACTCATGCTGTCTTGCAGAGGAAAGCTGCTTCCCCATAACAACTGCTGCTGCTAATTGAAAGGCACAATGCTTTAAACTAAAAGACCCAATATATTGAGTTTTGGCATATTGTGATATTCTTCTACATTTCAATTTGGAGTTAACAAGAGCAGAGCAAGGAAGGAAGAGAAAAAATTCTGCAGTAAGTGCAATGGTAGAATAACACCAGAGCTGGCATTTCACATATACCAAAGGTGGTTTTTCTTTTAAAAGTTTAAAGGGAGAAGGAATTATAAAACCTAAATTCACTTCTGTGTCTGTCCTTGTATAATATAGCGGTAATAGTATTAAGTAGTTACCATTGCCAATTTTGTTTCTAAAAAAAGTATTTAAAACTTTTCTTCATACTTTCAAACATGGGTATCTTACAGCATCCTCTGAACAGAAAGAGGCTAGGTTTGGTGGGGGTTTTTGGGGTGGGTTGTTTTGTTCTGTGGGGGTTTTTTTGTTTGTTTGTTTTTTGTTTTCATGTGGAAATACCAACACCTGGTGCTGTTTGATGGTGGCAGGAACTGAGTTTATCCCCAATGGGCCAGTTCTAGCTTCTACCCCACAGAGTGCAGCCTGGCACCATCCTCGCCCCATGGGGCTGCTGCCTTTCCGGGGGGGGCAGCTGGTGAGTCACTCTGCAGCCACGAGTGCGGCTGGCAGCTACCGGGCCTGCCACGGCAAAAACACACCTTGGTGTAGTGACAAAATGGAAGAGCTTCTTCCAGGTGTTTCCTTAAACCTGACTGACACTGTCCTGTAAGAGGGAGACCGGAGGTAGCATATAGGATGTTCCCTTTAGCCACAGCCTTTCTATGGTTACACGGGGGCAAGAAAGACGGGCGGGCGGGAAGCTGCCCCCGGCACGCCGCGAGGCGCAGGAGCCGTGCTCGGAGCCGGCCGGGCTGTGCCAATCTCTTCTTCCCTGGAATGCCGGGTGCGCCCGGTGGCGGGAGGCGGCGGCTCCGAGGCCAGGGACGACTGGAGCCCGGCCGCGGCGTCTCTCCCCGCGTCCCCCGGCCGGCAGGGCGAGGGGGTCCCGCGGGGGTGTCCTCCGCCTCACGCCTTCCTGCTCCGCCTGCTGCGGCCCCGCGGGGTCTGCACCGGCCCGGCACAGCAGCGCCCGCGGCTGCTCACGCCCCGCCGGGCGGGGCAGGGCCGGGGCGGCGGGCGGGGTTGTCCCGCCGGCGCTGGCTGGGCCGGGCCGGGCTTACAGGTCCGTGCAGGGAGGAGACAGGGAATCGGAAACGGGGCGGAGAGCGGCAGCTGCAGAAACATTAAAACCACCGAGCCCCCCAGCCCGCCCACCGGAGTTGCTCCGCGGGCACGCAAGATGTGCGGGACCGGTCTGGGCTCCGCGCCGCGCTTGAGCGAGGTAAGGCTCGGGGAGCCGCGCACCCCCCGCACGGCGAGGACGCCTGAAGTCCCAGCGCTGCGCTCCCTGCTCGGCGGGACCCCCGGGGGCACGAAACGAAAAAGAAGGGGTGGGGAGGAGGCTGCCTGGAGGCTGGCATGCCCGGTTGCGTGCCACGTCCGGCGGAGGCGGTGCGGGACGGGAGCCACGCGCGCTAGAGACCGAAGGAGAGCAGGAGCGGTGAGGGTTGGAGCCCGGGAGCGGTGCGGGACAGGAGCGGTGAGGGTTGGAGCCCGGGAGCGGTGCGGGTTGGAGCCCGGGAGCGGTGCGGGACAGGAGCGGTGAGGGTTGGAGCCCGGGAGCGGTGCGGGTTGGAGCCCAGGAGCGGTGCGGGACAGGAGCGGTGAGGGTTGGAGCCCGGGAGCGGTGCGGGTTGGAGCCCAGGAGCGGTGCGGGTTGGAGCCCGGGAGCGGTGCGGGACAGGAGCGATGGCAGTTTTTGCCCGGGAGCGATGCGGATCGGAGCCCGGGAATAGAGAAGGAGGTCGAATCCACTGGTCTCGCATCTCTCGCTTTGCCCCGCTGGGGCTGTAATTTAACAAATCTGCCTGTTCTTTCCTTGCATAGTATTATGGGTTCAATTTTTTTTAAATGTCCACTACAAAACCTTTA